CACACACACACACACACACACACACACACATATCCAAGAGGCCTGAAGAAATAAGTTATGGTGAGAACAGGAGAGGACCTGGCAGCTGGCTAGAGACTCTCCAGCCTTCGCTGACACTTCAGGGCCCAACAGCAGGATCACGCCCCAGGGACACAGCTCAGGGAATTTCAGAAGCAGTTTGTCAGAACTACTGGCCCGATGGAACTCCAGCCAGGCTGCACCCCGTCCCTTTGCCCCCAGCCTGCCCTTCCACCCTCTCAGTGGCTCTGAAAGCCAGGTCCAGGAGTCAGCTGGGCTGGACTGGTGTTGGGGCGGGGGCGGGGCAGGTGGGCAGCCCAAGTCCTCTTCACCATCACTGAGCCCCACTCAGGTCCGTTTCACTGTGGGGCCTCCCCTGCCTGATGGCCATCCCCATCTCTGCCCCCAGCTCTGACCAGCCCCTAAGAGGCCCAGACACGAGGCTCAGGGCAGCAGAGTGTGCTGGGCATGTCCACACGTAGAGGGGGCCACAAGTGATGGTGGCAGGCATGGCAGGCACGTATGGGCACCTCCTGGACATCTATGGCCGGGCTGGGGTGAGGATGGAGGACGGGGTGGGGCTCACTTTGGCCTTGCGCAGCAGCTGCTGGAACTCAGGCTGCGGCAAGAGGCCGTGGTTCTTCACGAAAGCCGGGACTTCGGGGGGCCGCTGGCTCTCGTAGTACACGGTGCCGTGGATCTCCATGTACTTGTTCAGGATGCTCAGGAACTTCTCCTTCCCCTGGAAGAGGAGATGGAGGGGATGGGAGCCTTGCTCCAACCTCAGACGGCAGAGCCAGCTGAAGAGACACCCCCGGTCAGGAAGTCGGAAAACATGGGGCCAGTCTCAGGTCGGCCCCTAACCAGCTGTGTGACCCTGAGGAGGCCCCTGCCCTCTCTGGTCCTCAATTTCTTTATCTATGAGTTACAGAGGTTGGATTAGACCAGAGGCCTCCAGACTATTTTTAGCCACGGACCTGTTTTCTTTCCAAAGGTCTCCTATAGAGACCAACATTTAATTGTATCCAGCTGGAGCTACTGGGCCTCCCCTGAATCCCTGATGACCTCCAAGGAAACTCCAAGGAGGCACGGAGCATAGGTGAATACATAACACCTCAGCGTCCGGGCACCCACCTGACGCTACGGCCAGGGCCCTGAGCTGGGAGCTGCGGTCAGTGTAGGACCTCAACAGGAATAAGCATGGGATCGGCTGCTGGGTTCTATTTTTTAGAGCTTTTCTGAGGCTCGCAGAAGAGAGGGAGGGGAAAGTAGCTTTGAGATCACGGAGAAGGGTGGGGCATGGGGCTCTCTTCAGGGAGGATTAGTTCCCAACAGGCCAGTGGGTCAGAGGAAAAGGACTCATGGTTCCCCACGTCCTGCCGGCCAGCATGAGATCAGACCACCATGAGCTCCAGCCCAGGTTCACTTCATAAACCACAGCTCTTGTAGAATATTATCAATGGACGTCAGATTAATTGTTAACAATTCACATTTTGAAACTCAAACTGTATGGATTTTTCACAAGGAGGCCTTCCACTTTGGGTAATGCAGATCAGCCCTGCCTCTGAGAATGACCAAGAAAAACAGGAAAATGTAAAAAACACCTATGAAGGCCCTGAAAAAATCTAACAAAGAATGAAGAATTACAAGGCCAAGACCTGGGAGAAGGAGGAAAAGAGATTGCTGAGGCCAGTGTTGGGGTTGGTTTTCCTCCTGGGGGCACCTGCTGATTCCAGGGGCAGCATCTAGGCAGCTAAGCAGACCTGGGAGACAAAAGTCAGAGTTCGGGGCCTGCCAAAGATGGGGAGCCCTGATGGAAATCCAACTTTGGGTTGGAACTCTGAGGAGTTACAGCCTGGAAGAAAGGAGGGACTAGAGCAGCTCTGGCAGGGGCTGAATCCTTTTAAAATTGTCTCAATCACTATCATTGGTTGAGGTGATCTGGGATTGCTAGGGCCCCAGCTGTAATCCAAGAATAAAAGTAAATCCTCTCTGGAAGAAGAGAGTATCATCCTTGACCTCAAATCATTTCTACAGTTTTTCATATTCACTTTCCAGAACTACCTAGAGGTAGTTTTTCTCAAAAAGAAAAAAAAAGAAAAGAAAAGAAAAGGGAACCAGTAAAATCCCAATCAAAATCCCAGCAGGCTTTTTAAAATAGGAATTGACAAGCTAATTCTAAAACTCATTTGGAAATGCAAGGACCTAGAAGAGACAAAATAACTTTGAGAAAGAAGAAGAAATTGGGCAGACTTATACTACGTGATTTCAAGACTTGTTGTAGAGCTACAGTAATCAAAACAGTGTGATATTGGCATCGAGAGAGACAGATCAACAGAACAGAACAGAGAGTCCAGAAACAGACCTACACATGTAGGGTCAACTGAATCCTGACAAAGATGCAAAGACATTTCAGTAGAGGAAGGATAATCTTTTCAACAAACAGTCATGGATCACTCTATAAGCAAAAAAAAAAAAAAAAAAAAAAAAGGAAAGGAAAGGGAAGGGAAAAAAGGACTTCAACTCACACTTCATATCATATATAAAAGTTAATTCAAAATGGATCACAGACTTAAATGTGAACCTAAAACTATAAAACTCATAGGAGAAAAATCTTTGTGACCTGGGGTTAAACAAAGATTTCTTGGATGCACCAAGAGCACAATCCATAAAAGAAAACACTGGACTTCCTTAAAATTAAAAACTTTTGGGCTTCCCTGGTGGCGCAGTGGTTGAGAGTCCGCCTGTCGATGCAGGGGACACGGGTTTGTGCCCCAGTCCGGGAAGATCCCACGTGCCGCGGAGCGGCTGGGCCTGTGAGCCATGGCCGCTGAGCCTGCGCATCCGGAGCCTGTTGCTCGGCAACGGGAGAGGTCACAACAGTGAGAGGCCCGCGTACCGCAAAAAAAAAAAAATTTAAAACTTTTGCTCTTTGAAAGATGCTGTTAAGAGAAAGACAAGCCACAGCCTGGGAGAAAATTTTTGCAAAGCATCTATTTGTTAAAGAACCTATATCCAGAATATGTAAAGAACTCTAACCACTCAATAATAAGAAAATAAACAACCCAATCTTTTAAATGGGCAACAATTTTTGAAGGTATTTCACCAAAAAAGATAAACGGAAGACAAATAAGCACACAGAAACATCTTCAACATCCTTAGTCATTAGAGAATTACAAATTAAACCCACAATAAGATAATACCGCACACCTGTTAAAATGGCTAAAATTAGAAAGACTGACCATGCCAAGTATTGATGAATTTGTAAAGGAATTGGAACTCTCATACATTGCTGGCAGGATTGTAAAATGGCAAAACCACTTTTCTTAAAACGTTAAACATAGTTCTACAATATGACCCAGCCATTCCACTCCTAGGTATTTACCCACAAGGAATGAAAGCATACGTGTGTACAAAGATTTGTAGGTGAATGTTCATAAAGGCTTTATTTGTAATAGCCAAATACTGGAAACAACCCAAATGTCCACTAACAGGTGAATGGATAAATAAAGTGTAGTCCATCCATGCAATGGAATACTGCTCAGCAATAAAAAGGAATGAACTATCGTTACATGCAACAGGATGAAGGAATCTCAAAATAATTATACTCAGTGAGAAAATCCAGACAAAAATGAGTATATACCATATGATTCCATTTATATAAAATTATATCAGTAGAAAATGAAAACTAATCCATAGTGACAGAAAGCAGACCACTGGTTGCCTGGAGATGAGGAGAGGAGAGATGGGAGGAAGAGATGCCAAAGGAAAGAAGGAAATTTCAGGGGTGGTGGATCTATTCTCTCTCATGATTGTGGTGACGGTTTCACGTAAGTCAAAAGCCATAAAATTATACACTTTAAACAAGTTTAGTGTATTGCATGTCAATTTTCCCCAATAAAGCTATTAAAATAGATTTTTTAATTTAAAAATTTAAATACCTTGATTTTAAAAAAAATAACACGTACATAAAGAGACAAGACTATATGATCAACACCCAAGAGACATGACAATAAAAACAGATTCATAGGAGATCTATATGCTGGAGTTACCAGGCACAGACTTTAAGATAAATATGCTGAATATAGTCTAGGAAATAGAAGATAAAATTTGAAACCAAATGGAAAAAAAAAACCCCACAGTGGCAGAAACTAAAGACTAAATGGATGGATTTAACAGCAGATTAAACACAGCTGAAGAGAAACTTCACTTACTGAAAGAACAAAAGAAAACATCCACAATGAAGCATAGAGAAACTAAAGGATGGAAACTGCAGAAAAGAATGTTGGAGACAAGGGGATATAATGAAGATTTAATGTCTGTGTAAATGGAGTCCCAGAAGTACAGGAGAGAGATTGGGGCAGAAGCAACATTTAAAGAGAGAGTAGCTGAGAATTTTCTAAAATTAGTGAAAGATCAAACCACAGATCCAAAGAGATCTACAACAAAACAAAACAAAACAAACAAGCAAAAAACCACACAGGCTTATCATAGTAAAACTTCTGAAAACCAAACGGAAGCCTTAAAAGCAGGCAAAGGAAAACGCAAAAAAGAAATCACCTTTAAAGGAACAATCAGACCTACACTGACTTCTCAACAGAAATGACAGAAGGCAGAGGACAAGCTAGAATTTGTACATAATGAATATATCCTCGGAGACATTTTTAGAAAATCAAAAACAGCAGTCCCAGACTAAGTTGGTTTCTTCTGGAGACAATGATTCCAAATGGAATCTCCGAGATGTAAGAAGGAACAGAGAACAATACAAAGGGTAAATGTGGGTAAATGTAAATGACTTTGCAAAACAACTGTAACAACAACAACAATGATAATAATATATCGTGGGGTATAAAATATTTGGAGAGTATTAAAATACCATAAAACATATAAGTTGGGGCCGGATAGAAATAAAACATTTTAAAGGTTTTATAACCCAATGAAACGTAAAGTGGTTGAGAGTCCGCCTGCCGATGCAGGGGACGCGGGTTCGTGCCCCGGTACGGGAGGATCCCACATGGCGCGGAGCGGCTGGGCCCGTGAGCCATGGCCGCTGAGCCTGCGCGTCCGGTGCCTGTGCTCCGCAGCGGGAGAGGCCACAGCGGTGAGACGCCCCCGTACCGAAAAAAAAAAAAAAATAAAAAAACGTAAAAGTATTGGCTTAGACTTTGGTAAGTCAAAGGTGCGTGTTATAAGGGACCAAAAGAATATGAGAGTACAATTAGCTAAAGGGAGGTGGATTTTTAAAAATATATCAATGTAAAAAGATAAGAAATGAGCGGAAAAGGAACATAGAACAGGTAAAAAAAAAAAAAAAAAAGAAACCAACTAATAAAATGGTAGATTCAAAGCCAAATCATATCAGTAACCACACCAAAATTTTTAAAGGATTCCTTATTATAAAACTGAATTATGGCCCTAGAAAAAAATCAAATCAAGGACATAAAGTGTTTAGAAAATGTCTCCAAAGCCCCTATTCAACTTCCTGATCCCATTACCAAAGCAGCTAATTATTAACAGTTTCTTGTGTGCTTTCTCAGATCTTCTATGCATTATAAGCAGATGTACATTTTCTTTAAAACACACACATACATGCACAAATGGGTTCACGTTACATGCACTGTTGAGCAACTTTTTTTCACCTAATCATACACGTGTGTGTATTTACGTATGAAAACTTAAAGTTTTACAAAACAATAATGACTCTTAATACATATAAAGTCCTCTGATATCCTTTTATTCTATTGTTTCTAAGTTATTCTGCTTCATTTAAAAGGCTAATCAAGGCTCTCTGAGTTAAAAAAAGACAAATACTGCATGATCTCACTAATATGCAGAATTGAAAAGAGTCAAACTCATAGAAACAGTAGAATGGTGTGTGTCAAGGGCTGGGCGGGGGGGATGGGGACATATGGGTCAAAGGGGACAAACTTTCAGTTTTAAGATAAATAAATTCAGGGATTTAAGTCCAGCATGGTGATTATAGTTAATAAACCTATATTGTATACTTGAAACTTGCTAAGAGAGTCAATCTTAAATGTTCTCACCACACACACATAACTGAGGTGGTGGATGTGTTAATTAGCTTGATTGTGGCACTCGTTTCACAATATAAATGTTTATCGAGCCATCATGTTGTACACCTTAAATACATACAATTTCTCTTTGTCAATTATACCTCAGTAAACCAGAGGAGAAAAAAAAAAAAAAAAAAAACAACCAGAGCTAAGTTGCAGTTTGAAAAGTCCACCTTAGCTCCCCCAGAAGCACTTCTGAGGTCTGGAATGTTTCCTCCAACAGCAAGGCTGGGTTTGCCCTGCGACCGGAGGAGCAGCCTCTCTCCCATCCCTCAGTCCTGCTCCCTGGGACAGGCTCTCCTAAAACAGCAGCATCTAAGCCTTAGCCTCCAGCTCTGGGGACCCAGGATAAGGCAAGCCTCCTAGGCACAACATTCACCAAAGCCCTCTTCCTGACCCCGGCTGCTGCTCCCCTAAGGATGTCACGACCTCATACCCTCCTCCCTTCTCTGCTTCTCGCCACCTGGTCCCCTGAACTCTAGATGGCATTTGTCCCAGGATGCTGCTGTCATTCCCTTCTTCAGCTGGCCACCTCTGCCTTCCTTGGGTCACAAAGACCAGATCAAAGATGTCTTTTTTTGGAAGGAGCTGCTTTGAGGTCTCTTGCTGCACAGCGTTGCTCCTGGCTAACCCAGAAGCTCCTGAGCTAGAGATAAAACTGTTCTCTTCCCAGGCCTCATAACCTCTCATTCTCTTGGAGCAGTTTCTTAACAGTATTTTCTGGTACAAGCAGACACCGTCTGTGCTCGCTCCCTTGCCCAGCACCCCGGGCATCCTGGCAGCCAGCTCGTTTGGCATCAAATGAGGATGAGTCCTCACCCCTCTCTCCACACCTAGCAGTGGGCACTGATGTCTCAGCCAGGGCTTGGACCCGTAGTCCAGCTTAATCCAGAGCTTCTCTCTGCCTCTATCCAAGGCGTCATAACCGGGGAGGCTATGTAGAGTCGGAGTTAAGTGTTCTGGCTCTTAGAGTTAGATGTGGGTTCAAATCCCAGCCCCACCACTTAACTAGCTTGTCACTCTAACCTCGTAGTTGACGGTCAAGTGAGAAAATATATGCGAGCACCTGGCAACAGTAAGCTCTGGATGGACCAATATTAGCCATGGCTATGACCTCATAGGGTTGTTGTGGCACAGACCGTGAGATGTCCCATAATATCGCTTTCCTCCCCCTTCCTCAGTCACAGAACTCCAGGGCTGAGCTGGGCACCTGGTTGCCGGGGGCACAGCCACTTCCAGCATCCCCAGAGACCGGGCACGGCCATGGGATCGAGACCTAGCCACAGGGCCATATGGGGAAGAGATGCGCACAACGGTCAGGCGGTGTCCCTAAACCTGACCTTCCCCCGCCCCTCCTCCTTTCTTCTCTTCCTCCC